CGTATAAGGTAAAAAGTAATTGTGTGAGAATACATCCTTGAGGAACACCGCTTGTTTTTGTAGTGGAACCAGTGACTCCATGAAAGTGATGACGAGATAAGTTGAATTTAATGATGACATTTCAATATGGCATCGAGATGAATGGAAAGGTTTGTGGCGTAGAAGGTAAAAAGTAAGTGTGTGAGAATACATCCTTGAGAAACACCAGCCTGTTTTTGTAGTGGAAAGAGTGACTTCGTGAAAATGATGAAGGTATAAGTTGAATTTAATGATGACATTTTACTTTATTGAGCTTTCACAGCAAGCATCAGTCTCATATCTTTTATCACATAATTATCCATGCATAAACTTAAAAAAAATACTAATCAAACCTATTTAGAATTCACCATTTCTCCTTATGAAGAGATAATATTGTTTCTCAAGGCATAACCTTAGTATACCACTTTCTCTTCATCTCCCTTTCTACCCTTGTTATCCTTTTCAAGTTAAGTACCACCTTCACAAATCCCCAGGCAAAAAACGCCTGGGCATGATATAATTATGTCCTCTATAATGCCATCATAAGATCCTCTCGCTATCCCCTCTTATGAAAATTATTCCTACGTTATTCTTATTTTTAAACTCACAACCCCCCAACCACATATCCTCTTAATACAAGATCTACTTTCTCACCAATTCGGCTTCCGTCATCATCATTTCACTTGGTTTCAGATTTGTCGACACTATCTCCTCTGCTCTAGAGAATAAAGAGTATTGCTTTTGTACTTCCTAGATGTAGCACATGCTTTTGATTTATCCTGTAATCCTATCTAACCGACTGCTGCTTCAGAGTGAGAAGTTTTCAGAAGCATCGAGTTTTCAGTCGGAAGTCAGATAAGAGCAAGTCGGCGTCCCACAAGGGAGCATTCTTGGTCTCATCCTTTAAATTATTTATACTATAGCCTATGCGCCTTAATACCATCATCAACCTACATGGATGATACCGCAATTTTGTCCTCAAACTGGAATCCTACGCACAGCATCCAAGAAAATCTTGAGCTTAACGAAAACTGGTGCAAAAAGTGAAGACCATGATTGAAGGAAAATGTACTCACAGTACGTTCACATTAAATAAACAGTCTTTCATTCAATTCAATTAAGTAAGACAAACGTACTTATATGTATTGGGTAGAAATAAAATATAAAAAAAAAAAAGATTTTAAGTAGTCTGCGTCCTCATCCTTTTCACCTTTCTTCTTATCTAAAGTCCTTGATTTCTAGAATATATCAATGTTCAAGACACTGCGCTTCTTATTCTTCTTCTTGTTTTGTTATATTAATGACTATCTTAAATCCATAAAATACTACTCTCATTACGTTTATGTGCGGTGGTCTACTTGCAAAGGCAGGAAACCTCTTTTTCCTCTAAGCTCTTAAAACTTTATATAATTTTGAATCATTGGGTTTTAACTCAGTTTATTCGGGAAAGCGCGGGGTTTTTTTTAGACGCTCAAAAATTATTTTTTCACATATTTGCCCTTTTTTTTAGAATTCGCAAAAGCTAAAAAAGGCAAATTTTTGAAAATAGTTAATTCCTAATATTACAGCATACAAACGAGGGGAAATTTAATTTAGTTGCAATTTAAAAAAATGAAGTGTTTTAAAGAAATTTGTGTAATTTGATGCGTTTTGATTTTTTTTTTTGATCCGATTAACTTTTTTACAAAAACCCTCCGGCTTTTTAGAATCTTACATTTTGCTACGAGTGAAAAAAAGTCAACCAATTTGATTAAAAACGGGTAAAAATAGTGAAAAACTGAAAATAGGTTAAACAAACAAAAATTTGAAAAACAGCAGTTTTTGGTTTTTTCTGTGTTGAATAAAATTACGTCACAGCCGATGCATCGATTTATATCTATAAAAAAAACTATTTTACGAAGTTTATGAGTATTTTTACTGCGATGTTTCTTGGCGTATGAATTTTTTACTCTCTAGTGTAATGTTGTTTTTAGCTAGCTTAATTTCTAAATAATAAAACGTAAATGCATGTTCAAAAATGGAAAAATATTCGGAAACCGTTGTCGGTTTTGCGACTCAGTATTGAACCGTGCACGTCATCTTCAACATCTCTTCGACTCAGCAGAAACCATGACACCTATGACCACATTTTGCCCAAAAAAACTAACAAATTTAACCAAAACTAACCATTTGGTTTAATTTCATAATTTCAAAGGAAAAAAATATTTTTATTTTAATTTTCTAAGCTGGGAAATGTTGATACCTAACTCGAGAGCTGGGAGGTAACCATCCTTTAGCATTTGATATTTGCCCAATTCAAAAATAAAAATAAAGTATTTCTGTTGTTAGAAAAAAATATGTAAAATTATTTTAAAAAATATTGCAGCAAAAAGCACAAAAAGCTTTTAATAATTGATTCTTTAAAAAAAATCTATTCTGCGGCATATCCAAGCCACTTCCTTTAAGCAGATGAAAAAAATTCACTTCAAGTTTCAATTGTAAAAATCCAGGATAATAAATTCAATTAGCTTCTGGGCTCTTCTAACCGAGTTTATTGAACGAAGAAAAGACCCAGATATCGTGTGAGATCTAGTTCTGTTCCCTAATATCTTTTGTTTATGCTTAATAACCACCCTATAGGGTTTCATGGGAAGATTGGGATTTTCCTTCATCAGACCTTCTCCTGTAAATCCCAGATTTCTCGCCGGCGCTTTTCCACCCTTATCAAAGTCAACGTGACCGCCGTCTTCTCTTCTTTAGCACACGTACAATCTTGATATGCTCTCTTGTTCTTCCCCACTTTGGCTAGATAAGTGTTGTATAAGGAGGACTCAATTGAGAGTTTGATGATGGGCTTAAACGTCTGTTTTGTATGTTTTGTCTTCGACTCCCAAACCCTGATCTGTACTCTAACTTGAAGTAGTTATACCCCACTTACTATTGTCAATTCTTCTCGCTCTTTCATCTTTCTGACGATATATTACCAATCCCCTCTTGACATATAAGTACTTCTCTAAATTTCACCCTATGTACATTCCTTCCAAACTCGCTCGCGCGCTTCTAACATACATCCACCGTTCGAAAAAAATTCCTGCATATATATATATATATATATATATATATATATATATATATATATATATATATATATATATATATATATATGCAGGAATTTATTTGTCGACCAATCTTTTTAATAAACTATTCTTCCTTTCAAGGGATCAATGGCAACTTGAAGCATTGATATTATAAATATATTTAAAATTTTTGTAAAAATAACTTTTACATCTAATGGGCAAACTGATTCTAAATTCGTTGACAACCAAGAAGAAGAAAACTGCCATTCATAATGATAATGAAGATAATAATTTTTCAAATTCTACCTGTTTGGCAACTACTTTAGGGCAAAATGTTATGCATATTGGATCTTCTCGTTGCACTTTGGTAATGGGTGTTGAGCAGAAAAGTTTGATCTGCAATGATGATAATTCTGGCTCTTCAGATGTCACTATCAAATCTGCGAAGAATGAAGTGTCAGCTTTAGAGTTGCAGGTCAAAAATGTTACAAAAAATAAAACTATTGTAAATACTGAATTAGCACAAGTATATTTTATGCGAAAAAAGAAGATTGCATGATCTTAATTGAATCTTAGTTCTTATGCTGCGTTTTTCTCTTCATTGTAAGAGAAAAGTTGTACTAATTTTTGAATTATTTTAGTTTTCAATGTTAAAAGTATCGATCACTTTTTCCCTCACGAACATTCTGTATCAAGGTATGGTCTTGAAGCGAAGAACGAATTCAGTTCTTACTGCTATGTTTCGACCCATGGTCATCATCAGCGCGTATATAAATTTCAAATGATGAAAAACAATTGTTATATCAATTGTTCAAATATGTTTGTCGTAATGCTAAGTTAATAAAGACCCTGATGATGACCTTAAGATAGGTCTAAAACTTAGCAGTAAGAACTGAATTAATGAAGTCTTGAAGAAAAAAGGAAATTCAGATCTCACTGTCAAATCTGGGAAGAATGAAGACTTAGCTCCAGAGTTGCAGGTCAAAAAAATTAAAATATTGTTAATACTGATTTAGCACAAAAGCAATATTTTATGCGAAAAAAGAAGATTGCATGATCATAATTGAATCTTAGTTCTTTTCGACCTTAAGGTAGGTCGAAAACTTAGCAGTAAGAACTGAATTATTGAAGTCTTGAAGAGAAAAGCAAATCTACTTCTTACTGCCACGTTTCGACCTATCTTAAGGTCATCATCAGTGGGTATGTTAATTTTCAATGATGAAAAACAATTGTCATATCAATTGTTCAACTATGTTTTTCGTAATGCTAAGTTAATAAAGACCCTGATGATGACCTTTAGATAGGTCGAAAACATAACAGTAAGAACTGAATTTGCTTTTTTCTTCAATACCATACCAGAGTGATCGTGAATTATAACTTAATTATAATATTTTTTTATATGTTTTCGTCAGTGGTGTCTTTTTAACTTTTACATTATTTTATATTTTCAACGATTATTTGAACGTTTTAGTTACACTATGATTAATAATCAGTAAAACTTTTATTTCAGTAATTAATTTTATAATTTAAATAAATTACCCCTGACTTATGGATGAAACCACATTTGGGTCAAAAATAAACTTAGTAAAACTACATAGATATTTATATTTGTTTGTTAAGTTTGTATGTTATCTGTTATTATTACAAAAAAATTAATCTCCTTACAGTTATTCGTTTACCACAATTATCGTTATAGCAAACAACCTAAATTACGTAGAGCCAATACATGCAAGAAAAATACCACCACTCAAAAAGTGGTTAGGTTTTTTTAAGGGTCGTACAACTGGATTTGTAAAATAGTGTGTTTTCCCTTAAGTCTTGGACGAAAGACAAAGTGGTTGTAAATGGAAAAAAATGTTAAATATAAAATTATTGGCCAATTCGTATAGTGCATGGAAATAAAGGCTAATAAAAAAAATCAAAATAACCTATAAAACACATGGTATACAAATAAACAAAGATTTTATTTCACCAAACACTACATACACTCTACAACACTTTCAATGGCACATAAATATCCATTTATCATCCCAGATTCATCGTGGAAAAAGAAAGAATGTACGACCTACCTCGGTGACTCGTCATTCCAGGAGGAAAAGGTGGGAATTGTTTATAGCAATTGCAAACGCGACGCGGTCGTTAAAGTGGGTAAGAATAACGTAATTTTTTTTCTAAATCCTTCTCACCAATTCCCTTCTTTTTTGTTCAATTTTCAATTTTTCATGATTTTTTTTAGCGGGTGGAGTAATACTTGGTGTAATGTTATCGAACCTCTGCGCGACAAGTAAGTACGTTAAAAAACAAAAGGGGTTTTTACAATTTTGCCCAATTAAAAAAATTATAAATGCATAAAAAATGTAAAGTAAATGTGAACTAGGTGAGGGGTTGTTTTAAAAGAATAAAAATTGATATTATTCAAGGCTGAGTAGGTAGATCAGCTTTGAATATTGTGTTAAGGGAAAAGCGAGTACGCGACCCTGCGGGACTCTAGACAGAATTGGGTAAATGAAGGAAAACAGAAGTGTTTTGGGCAATTTTGAAGTGACTGTCTGGAATATGATTTTAATATAATGTACTAGGTACGATGGAACAAGGTAGGTATCAATTGCCTGAGAATCCAAGAAGACACCTTACAAGTTGTGTAAAAGCTAGTCTAGTAGGAACCTCAAAATCCGATCGTGACAGATAATTTAAGAAGGTTACAGGCATTCATTATACAGGCTTAGTAAGGGTCTAGTATCTTACTAATTATAAAGAAAAAAGTGATGTCAGCAATAACTGCTTGACTTGGTTTCTTTTTCTTAAGACTTATATATGAGTCTGAAATCAGGCCAATACAAGCCGGTGTCCTACAAGGGAGTATCCTTGGTCCTATCCTTTATACCATCTATACTGCTGAACTACCTACTCACCCCAATATCGTCATAACCACCTACGCGAACGATACTGTAAATTTGTCCTCTAACATGAATTCTACCCAAGCTACCTCTAATATCCAAGAACACCTTGAACTCGTCGAAGGTTGGTGCAAAAAAGTGGAGGACAAGATTAAACGGATTAAACGGAGAAATCCAATGTACGTTTGAAAAAGCAGTCTTGCCCTCCACTATACATCAACAATGAAGAGATACCGACTTCCACTCAGGTCAAATACCTAGAACAACCTTGACAGCAGACTGACGTGGAATCCCCACACAAGACTTAAAAGACACCTCAACAGAAGACTTGGACAATTACGCAGACTACTAGGACCAAAATCCGGGTTGACCATCAGCACTAAACTGACCTTATACAAGACTTTACTACGACCACTTTTGACATACGGTGTTGAACTGTGGGGTTCCGCCAAACCATGCAATATCCAGCGTATCCAGTCCTTCAATATCAAAAGTCATCAGACAAATCGTCAAAGCTGCTTTTTACGTCTCTAACCTCACGATCCACAAAGACCTCCACATTCCTTTTGTCCACGAACTGATCCATTCCTGATTCCAAAAATTTCCTACCACCCTATCGATCCATCCAACCCTACCCCTAGAGCCCTCTCCATATAATCCCATCCCGAGAATCCACCACGTCGCCTAAACCGACGATGGCGACGAGACCTCCTTGCCCCTCAATCCTTTAAAATAAGTGCCACCACTGGCTGGCTTCTCGTGGCATGCGTCCTCCGGGTGTAGCGCTGGCATCAGTGTTAGTGCTGTGACCGAGCGGTGAGCAATATACATTGTGAGCACATTTGTATTATGTACAAGTCTGTATAGGCTACAAATAAAAAAATAAAAAAAGACGTATAGAAAAAAAATAGAAATTCCATATAGTAGAGAAGTGGGTAGAACAAAATAAATAGATAGGTTATGATGATTGTTTTTTTTTTACGTAGACAAACAAGTATTTAAGAGGAATTAGGTCGTAACCAGATTTTTGTAGTTTTTTGGGGATTACAGATTAAAACCATAAAACATTTTTGTTTTTAGAAAAGAAGTTAAGGTGAAATAAATACTAGGGTTATTCACGATGTAAGATGTGTAACTCGTGTTAACTCGAATAGAGAAATGTCCAGAAAGATCGTGAACACCCCCTTCTTTTCGTAGCATGCTAAACGTTAATATTTCCGCAGTCCTGCGGGTGGTAGAACCAAAAATAAAGCTATAGCAGTCCTTTAAGGCTTGTTGTTATTTGCTTTTTTTTTGCGTTAAATTGTAAGATGCCAGAAGTTAATAAAAAAGGAAAATTAATCAATACTTTCATTCAAAATGCTATCTATTCACTCGAAAAGTACTAACAAATGACACGCTTCCATTCCAGCCGACATATCTTACTTGTATGCTAAGATCCAACAGCCTCCAACTTTATAGGTTAGGGGATACATCTATTATAAATGAGAGTAGAAGGATAGGTCAGAAATTAACAAAAGAAATGTTTTGATATGATTTAATTAATGCATATTTAAGAATAAAAATACGTCTTAATAAAAAACAGCTGTTAAATTCATGGCTGCCATGTTGGTTACCTACGCCCTAACGGATAGCAATGTAACTACATTTTTGACCTGGCATCTAGCATAGATCGAGCAATGTTAACTAGCCGATTCTTACAAGTCTACGTCATCATTTTTCTCGATCTAGCAGGACCTAACAGGGTTAACACAAAGATCGTGAATACCCCTAATATAACATTTATGCTAAACAGACATTAAGTCGCTTAAGGGGGATAACTTTGCTTTCGGGTTTGTTTCTCACACGCGTTTCTCACTGAAGAGGTCGAAATGTCGGATGCTTTCAACGACTCGCAGACCAACACCCAGCATCACATATCTATACTATTTATGCTAACAGAAAATATATTTATCAATGATTATTCGGAAATCGTGAGATGCGGGCTGGTGTGATGTAGGTTTCAGTAAAACATTTTCTTTATCGCGCCAACGTTTCGATCTTTATTGAGATCATCTTCAGGGCATGGATTCTCAAACATTGTTTAAATTTATCAAAAATATTTAGAATGTGGAAAAAAGTAAATTTATACAATGCAAATAATTTTTTTTTTATATATTCAATCAAAGTATTTCTACTCACTCAAAGTGTTTAATTTCTGTGTAATTGTGCCATTCTTGCGTGTCGTGTCGAGAGTGCCAGTGAGCTTTTGCTATTTTGTGTTTATATTGGATTTTGAAATGGTGGGGAAAGAAAGACATTTTTGTATAATGAATCGGCTTCTTTGAGGAGAAAAGAGCCGACGAAGGGAAAAAACGGTTCGGCCAGAATACACTTTCAGGATTATATATACAGGGATAAATAAGAAAAGGAAAGCTAAATTTTGGAAAAATTAGACAACGGCATTGTCTGGATGTCAACACGACACACGAGAATGACACATCTACACTGAAACAAACACTTTGAGCCCTGAAGATGATCTCAATAAAGATTGAAACGTCGCACAATAAAGAAAATGTTTTTCTGAAACCTACATCACACCAGACCGCATCTTACGATTTCCGAATAATCATAGACTGACGGTCACTAATCACCACACATATTTATCAATTTTTCTTTCGGTTGTTCATGAATTAAGCTTTTTCCTCCATGTAAAATCATATTTAAACGTGAAATTTACTTCCTAACACAAGTGTTAATATTCACAGCCAATTTTCTTTTCTAAATGTATTATATGAACAAAATGAAAGAGATGTTAGATAAGTAGAGCGCAGGTATTGTAAATTTTCGAAATAACATGGTTAACATGGGTATCAAACGATTTTTTTTGTTGGTTTGCGTATTAGCCACGTTTGAAAGAACAACTAATATATTTTACTTAAACCGAAGGGGAGAACAATCTTGTAATTGAAGTTTTTTCTAGAAAAAAGAGCAACATTATGCACATGGCCGACTTGGCCTTTGTTCATCGGTGCGGGATTGGGACTCGGAATGGCGTCTGAAAATTGCAAAAGAGATTTAAAATCTCTCTATACGCCGAAACCGGACGAAAAGAAACAATTCATGGATTCCAAACGACGTTATAAAAACAAGGTATGTACTTTTTGTAAATGGTCCTACTTCTACGTTTACAATATATTGTGGATGTGAAATCGTGTTTTTTTTTTTCAGTTTTGTAACGAATGAAAATATAAACCTCAGATCTTACAATGTTCTTTGTGCCAGCATCGTTTCATAAAACAAGTGAGTAATGTCAAACGCATATATATTTTACTCATTATCAAAGTCGTTTTGTTTTTGCAGCCTTGTTCTCTGTCGTAAAAACCAAAAAGTCAATGACGTTTGAGTATTGTTTAAGTATTGACGATTCTTTTTTCTCCACGATTTCTTATACACAACGTATATACTCCACAATAAAAAATACGATAATACTAAATATATGTGTTTTTTCTTTTAACTTTGACATACGTGAAAACACAGAAAAAAAATTAAAAAATATGACCCTATAACGAAATATAAAGTGTATGTACCCAAGGTTTAAAATTTTCAGTAATGATTACGAAATGTGTACAAATATCCTTAAAAACATTCGTGTCTCACATATTTATATATACTAGCCTTATAATAAAAATAATTTGGAAAGTTTATTGGCACAAATAACTGAGGTCATCGCATGTTTTACTTTTCTTTCTGATCTTCGGCCTGCAGCCATTTAAACGTCTCGTTGTATTACTGATTCTGCTTTTATATGAAACTAAGTCGACATACAAAAAGGCAAGAGTCTTTCCATTGTAGCTCAGTTTGTCAACTACAGAACAAAAACATCAATATACAGGGTGTTACAGGGTGTCAATACTGCCATTATGGATTCACGAAATAAAACATAGTTTAGTGCCACAAGAACTTGTTATCTATATTGATTCTTTCCGGAGATAACATTTTTGTAATTTTAGTCTAAAATCAATTTTTTTACATCAAATCGTAATTTATCTACTTCAACATTATTTAAATACAAATTCGACCTTTATTTCGCAAACTACATTAAATTTTCTCCGAGGTAACATTTTTGTTGGAAAATTCTGGTTTCCGAAAAACATGATGTCCAAACCAACGAGAGTAACAACCCAATAATATCGTACATTTCATACTTTCAATAAAAGCGTTTATTAGTTGGTAACTTCTAACCAAGCACAAATCCAGGAATTTCTCATGTCCCCCTGCCGAAGTCAAATATGTCCTTACCTGATTACCTTATCGCAAGTTTCCTGATCTTATGACGTCCAGAATCCTCCGTGAATTTCGTAAACAAGCCATAATTTACCTCACATATCTCTAAAACTATATACTCCGCACTACACACTTCCCCTTGCTTTGGAAATTCTCAAATATCATCTTATTCCCCAAGCCAGGAAATCCTGCTCATAATGCATGTTCCTACCGTTCAATCAGTCTGTTCCCTCTCTTCTCAAAAATATTTGAGAAGATCCTATTAAAACGTTAGATCCCTTAACTTAAATCTCACCATATTCTCCCGGACCATTTGGTTTTCGCAACAATCCACAACCCAACAGGTGATTTGCGTTGTAGACCATATAACCTCATCCCTCGAGCGAAAAGAATACTCTGCGGGAGCCTTCCTAGACGTATCACAGTTTGATCGTGTATGGCATGAAGGTATGTACAAATTAAAGCGCGTCACAAACACCTTATACTTAATCATTCGATCCTACCATACTGGACGATATTTCAGGGTCCATCATGGGTCGGACTACTCCGACTACTGTCCTGTGGGAGCGGGAGTAGCCCGCTAGCCTGTGGTGCTGAACACTCTTGTACCTCCTCTACGAATCCCGTCCACACCTTCTACTCTCCTTGCATTCCTTCGCTCAAGACACCTTTCGTCCAATCCCGATCCTGAAAAAGCGTCGGAGGAGTTCCAATCACACGTATAACGGATTGCCGTATAATATGGAGAGTAAAAATAAATGAAAACAAGTGCACCCATATTACGTTTACCCTCCGAAGCAAAACTCCTCACAGAATACACCTCAACAGAATCCCTATTCCCAAAGCTGACTGCGTACAATACCTTGGGCTCTATCTTGACTCACGACTGACGTGGAAAGAACACGTCCAAATAAAAAAACAAGAACTGAATAGCTGATTTGGACTACTGTACTACTAGGACGCAAAACTAAATTCTCGTCAAAAAACAAACTAACACTGTACAGAACACTGAAACCGATTTGGACAACGGACTAGAAATGTGGGACACCGCTAACTGACTAACATCAAACGAATTCAATCCTTCCAATCCAAAGTCCTTAGAGTTATAGTACAAACTACTTACTATATCTCCAACGGCACCCTCCAGAATGACCTCAAAATACCCTTTGTAAATAATATTTATTTAGAAATCGTGAGATGCGGTCTGGTGTGATGTAAGTTTCAGAAAAACATTTTCTTTATCGTGCCAACGTTTCGATCTTTCATGAGATCATCGTCAGGGCCTGGGATATACAAACATTGTTTGCATATAACAATTACATTTTGAATGTGGAAAAATGAATTTATACAACGCAAAATATATTTTTTTTAATATATATTCAATCAAAGTATTTCTACTCACTCAAAGTGTTTGTCTTCTGTGTAATTGTGTCATTCTTGTGTCGTATCGAGAGTGCCAGTGAGATTTTGCTATTTTGTGTTTATATACGTTGGATTTTGAAGGGGTGGGGAAGGATGTCGATATATAAAAGACATTTTTGTATAAGGCGTCGGCTCTTATCCGATAACTTCAAAATAGCTTTCAAAAATTATAAAACAATTCAAACAGTTTATTCCAAAATTAAAGATGCCACACCAATAACAAATAAATCTGACGTAATCCACAAGATCAACTGTTTAAACTTTGTCCCTTCTTTTCCTCTTGTCATTGCACGTGACTTTAACGTACCGTATGAGCTGATCTCTAGGTTACATGGTTGTGCTGTACACTCTTTTCAGAGTTTGCCATGTATAAAAATATAGCTAGGTCAAATCAGAGCTCCTTGCTTGCAATACCACGAGAAGAATGTATCTAATTTTTGTTACCAACTAATAAACGTTTGCAGTAAAAATATGATATTTACCATGTTCTTTTTTTGCTGCTCTTGTTATGTACGTTATCACTTCTTTTTAAAAGGACAGTCCCTACTCACAGTAAGTTGTTTTGCAACGATCCGGATTTCGAGCCTTTTAGCTCATCATCAGGTTGAAGGACTTCTACAACCACGTCTCTTGACATGAATCGCTAAAGTGAACCGCTGATACCTCCGCCAACGCGACGTTCCAATTATCATCTGATTTTTTTAATGACGCTCAATTTGAACGTGAGAACCATGGGTGGGAAGAATCCGCTGGTATCATAGTGTCTATAGTTGTGGGTTTTCTATATACATCTATTTCAACTAGGTTGTTTATTATGGACAGATTTAGGTCTAAAATGTTCAAACAACCATCTTTGCCAATTCGCACGTTCAAATTGAGCGTCATTAAAAAAATCAGATGATAATTGGAACGTCGCGTTGGCGGAGTTATCAGCGGTTCACTTTGGCAATTCATGTCGAGAGACGTGGTTGTGGAAGTCCTTCAACCTGATGATGAGCTAAAAGGCTCGAAATCCGTATCGTTGCAAAACAACTTACTGTGAGTAGGAACTATCCTTTTAAAAAGTATTGAACACCACACTCACTCCATCATTTATCATTTCTATACGTTATCACTTTTTCAACCTTGCAAAAGAAATTTCGCTACAAGTTCGAAAATATGAGAAAGTGAGCATATCCTTCTGATACTTATAAAAAAAAGCAACTTGATGTAATCCCCAATGATTTTGATAGAAAAGTCATTGCATGAACCACAATTGAATATTGAAAAAAAAAATACACGGGTTTTGCTATTGTTATTATTTTGGACGGCTAGTGTGTATCCGGAAGGGCGAATTTTTCAACGGAAATTTTGTTATCTAGCAGAAAATTTAATATAGTTTCCGAAATAAAGGACAAAATTTCTATTTAAATGTCGTTGAAATTGAGAAATTACGATTTTACGTAAAAAATTTGATTTTAAACTAAAATGAGAAAAATTTAATTATCTCTGAAAAAAGTCAAGATACATATCAGATTCAGGTGGCACTGAACTAAGATTAGTGCATCCACAATGGCAGTATTGACATTTCACCCTGTAACATTAACACCCTGTATATAACGTAAAAACCAAAATAGACATTCGTTTTCTCGATATTTTAAACAAACAAAGTTGTGTTATTATATACCAAAAATTTCTTCTTCATGATAAAAAATTTGTCATTGTACTAACGACCAAACGTTAGTGTTATTCAGAGACTTTTCTTTAACGTATAAGGGTAAAAAATGGAAACATACCGACACACATAAAAAATAACTGACTTATTTGGACAATAATCAAGCTAAATTCTATGTCATCGACAAGACGTTGTATGCTGGAACACAACGATAAGACAAAGAAACAAAGTGCCTCAATTTTGCTTAAAATACGGTAAATAATTTTAATTATTATCAGGAAACGCCAAAAGCATAAGAAGTTCTCTATTCAGAATAATCTAGTCTAATCATATTACAACAATGATACGGTTAAAGACACACAACATAAACATAAGCTACGAAGCAACCCGTAAAATTTGACCGAGTCCTCTCTTCATTTGCTCAATAGTAAGTAGAGAAAGAAGTCTTTGCCAAATGGAAAGAGATCTGGAATAAATTTGACATTAGGACACACACACACACACACAATTTCCGAATAAAGCGTGTAGATTGGTTACAAAAGTTCCAATATCCTCGATAATTACACAGGATTGGAGTGGAAGACTAAAAACTACCTCAAGAGATTTCATATCACTGATGATGACAAACGACGCAAACGTCGGAACATTATGTAGAATGCATAATTTTGATCAACATAGAGTGGAGCTATAGAGAAAAATGTACCTCAGTGGTGGGGATTGTCCTCCAAGTTTTAACCATCCATTCACTAGGTGACCATTGTGAGCAAATTTACATATCATCTCATTTTATAGCACATTTTATAGGTTAAGTTAAATAAAACACAATTTATTAAGGTTTTTAATTGATATAAAAAAGTCAGTGTCACGAGCGGGATTCGAACCCACGATCTTCGGCTAGATACGCCGCTGCTCTACCACTACACTCTATCGTGTCTTCGATCCACTCGGACACTAAATTCCCATCTCAACCCAACCTTTTGAATTTTCCTTTTCTTGCCATTTTTAAATATAATAATATTTATTAATATATAAGATATTAATTGGTCAAGCGGACCACGAAAGTGAATTTAATAACACGCCGTAAATAATTTGTGTTATAAAAATGACTAAAGGTCTTTGACATGTTTTCAAAT